CATCCTATCTATATGTCTTTGTCGCTTTCAGTTTTTCCATTAGCCATATGTACTGTGAATATTTCATTGAGTGATTGAGGTTTTTGTTTGAGTATGTGATTAAACTTTTGGCTCACGAAACTCCTCTCCACACCGCTATTGAAAAGTATGCATGCATATGAGTTATTGAGGCGAAACATACATGTAAAGGTAGCGGGGTCCTTCATCGCTTCCTCGTGCTCCAGTGTCAATACCCTTCCCATGCCTCCTACATTCTTGTTATTTTCCTTTTGGCTCTCCCTTTTGAAATGCCCAATCTCCCCACATCCATAACACACCCGACTCACCCCAGCATTAGGCTTGGGTGGTCTGTTGAGATGGAATTCCAAGGGTTTACATCATTTATCCGCATAACTCTTTTGCCGGTCCCAAGATGCATTTAGTCGTCCACAGATCTAAACGATCTTCCCTTTTGTTTCCCGTATGATCTTAGGATTAGTAAGAGTATTGTTAGACACTTGTCCTCTAGCTAGCTGAGTGTCAACCACCCCAGCCTAGCATAGAGGTGACCTGCACTTGCGCCCATAGAGGGCTTCAATTAGTGCAACTTTAATGCTAGTGTGATAAATGTAATGGTGTGAGAATTCAATGAGTGGTAAGTAGGTATCCCAAGCTTTACCGAAGTCTATCACACAAGCTCTCAACATGTCTTACAGCATTTGAATAGTTCTCTAGCTTTGCCCATCGGTTTGTGGGTCATAAGTTGTATTCATGTCAAGCCTAGTTCCCAAGGACTTTTGTAGTGATTGCCAAAAACCGTGCGGTAAACTTAATATCTTTTTTAGAGATAATGGATATTGGCACACCATGTAATCGTATAATCTCCTTGATCTACATCCTTGTTAGTTTCTCCATTTTTTCTATCTCCTTTATTAGTAGGAAGTTTGCGAATTTGGTTAACTTATCGAAAATTACCCATATGGGGTCAAGTCCACCAAATTTTATTGGGCAATTTAGTTATGAAGTCCATTTTTATTCACTCCCACTTCCACTCAAGTATATCGGTTTATTGTAGCAAACCTGAGGGCTTTTGCTACTCTACTTTGACCTTGGCGCAACTCAAACACTTGCCCAAATAAGTAGCGATTTCCTCCTTCATGTTTGGTCACCAATATAGTTTCTTGAAGTTTAGATACATCTTGTCTGACCCAGGATGAACGGAGTAGTTGCTCTTGTGAGCTTCATTCATGATAATGTCTCTGTACCCGCCAAATCTTAGTGTCAAGATTCGATTCATGAGATAACAAGCTCCGTCACCCTTGACCTCAAAGTTTTTATCCATTCCTCACAAGGCTTCACTTGTAACATTCTTAGGTTTCAAGGCTTCAAGTTACGCCTCCTTGATATGAGTTGAAAGATGTGAATGGATAATCATTGTCAATGATTTTACTCGGCGGCTCGAGTACTCCTTTCGAATTAGGCCATCTGCTACCACATTGGCCTTGCCTAGATGATAACGAATTTCGCATTCGTAATCATTTAGTAACTTTACCCCTCGTCTTTGCCTTATATTGAGCTCTTTTTGATTGAGGATGTGCTGGAGACTCTTATGGTCAGTGAAGATCATACACTATGTACCATAAAGGTATTGTCTCCAGATCTTTAAGGCAAACCCTACCTCCCCTAATTAAAGGGTGTGTCTGGTGTAGTTGACCTCGTGAGTCGTAAGTTGTCTTTAGCCATGGGCAATGATATTCCCCCATTTCATGAGTAAACAAGCTATTCCCTGCTTGGACGCATTGTAGTAGACCACAAAGTCTTCTGTTTCTGGAAGGGACAAGATCAAAGCACTGCATAAAGCATGCTTTAGCATCTGCAAGGCAGTTTCTTGTTTATCCTCACAGTTGAAGGTTACTCCTTTCTAGGTCAGGGTAGTAACTGGCTTTGCGATGTTGGAAAAGTTATGTATGAACCTTCAGTTTTAGCCAGCAACACCCAAAAACTGGTGGATTTCTGTCGGTGTCCTCGGCGCTTCCTAGTTTTCAATTTCTTTGATTTTGGAGGTATCCACATGTATCCATTCCTTGCCGACCACGTGTCCTATGAAGTCCACCTTTCAAATCCAAATTTCACATTTTGAAAACTTTGCATATAGCTTCTTCACCTTTAGTGTCTCCAAGACTTGTCGCATATGTTGACTATGTTCTTCCTTACTTCGCGAATAGATAAGTATGTCATTGATGAACACTATCACGTATTTATCTAGGTAAGGTCGGCATACACGGTACATTGGATCCCTGAACACTGCGAGTGGATTAGTCAATTCGAAAGGCATCACAACGAACTCGGTGTGGCCATAACAAGTCCTGAATGATGTCTTAGGAATATCTTCCTCATGGACTCTAAGTTGATGGTACCCCGACCTTAGATCGATTTTTGAGAAGTATCTCAATCCTTGAAGTTGTTCGAACAGATAGGGGATATCGGTTCTTGATGGTGAGTTTGTTCAACTCCCGATAGTCAATGCACATACATAATCATCTGTCTTTCTTCTTTACGAATAGGACTGGTGCTCCCCAAGCTAAGAAGCTTGGTCTGATGAATCCTTTACTTAGAAGTTCGTTCAGTTGACTCGACACTTCCTGCATTTCTGTCGGGATAAAAGATTTGATGATTTGGTAATGGGGATGGCTTCGGAAATCAAGTCAATTTTGAACTCGACTTGTCGCACGGGTAGTACTCCCGGAAGTTCTTCTGGGAATACATCAGGAAAACTACAGAATTCTGGAATATCCTTGATGTCCTTCACTTCCCTCTTCTTATCAACAACATGGGCTAGGAATGTGTGGTAGTTCTTGTGCATGTACTTTTGAGCCTTGATGTAAGAGACAATTCAGAGGTTTGTGCTAGGTTTGTCACCATAGATTACAAGTTTTTTCATTATTTGGTAAGTTAAGTTGGACGACCCTTTCATAACACATGATATCGGCATGGTGAGGGCTTAACCAATCCATGATAATGATCATATCAAAGCTTCCTTTTGTAACATGCATTACGTCAATTTGGAAGGAGTGATTGTTTAGGGTTAGTGTGCATCCTATGTATATATCTTTGGCTCTTTCATTTTTTCCATTAGCCATCACTACTGTGAATATTTCATTGAGTGATTGATGTTTTTGTTTGAGTATGTGTCTAAACTTGTGGCTCACGAAACTCCTCTCTACACTGCTATCGAAAAGTAAGCATGTATATGAGTTATTGAGGAGAAACATACAGGTAACCGAAACGGTGTACTTCAATGCTTCCTCGTGCTCCATTGTCGATACCCTTCCCACGCCTCCGACATTCTTATTCTTTTCCTTTGGGCACTCCCTTTTGAAATGCCCAGTCTCCCCACATCCATAACACGCCCGACTCACCCCATCATTAGTGGCTTGGGAGGCCTGCTGAGTTGGCGCCTTATAAAAATGAGTAGTGCGCCCCTTCCTGTTACAGTTCTAATGGTGTATCTCCCAGCAAGCTCCATTTTTTATGGAAGTTGCATTTGTCTCATTTAGGCAGATTCCCAACATATTGTTTAGTCGGTGTTGGGGCAGTAGGGACAGTGGCGGCATGGACTGCCACAGTTTGTTGTCTTTTGACAGGCTCTTGAGTCGGTTGTCCCTTTTTCTTATTCTAGAACTTTCTCTTGTTATCTCCCATTTTTGGTTGACCAGGTGTGGGTGTCATAATGCCCTAGCGGACTCCATGGTTGACAAGCCTTTGTGCCAAATGTTTGGCACTTTTTTAGGTGGCTGGGTTAGTAGATACAACCATTCCTTGAATCTGGGTGGATAGTCCCAAGATGTAGTGTTCCACCTTCTTGTCTTCTGGGGTGACCATCCTAGGGCACAGAATTGCCAACTCATTAAACTTGGTAGTATAGGTGGTCACATTAGAGCCCATCATTGTATTGTTTCAAAGTTCTTTATCTAATTTCTGAATTTCTCCCCCGGGCAGTACTCTTCCAGCATCATGACCTTCAGATCTTCCCAGCTCATTGAGTTGACTAGGACGAGATTCAGGGTTTAACATGGTCATTCCATGAAGATAAGGTAGCGTCAGCGAACGTACAAGCTGTGTACTTGACTTCACAGCCATCTAGGCATGAACAGAGTTCAAACACAGATTTGGTTTTCTCAAACCATCTCGTTAAAGGAATGAAACCACTATCGCCATAAAATTCTTGGGCTTGCAGTTCATAAAATCCTTGTAGGAGCATACTCGTTGGTGTCCTTGGCTTTCGCTATGATTGGAACTGTTGACACCGTTCCCGTTCCCGTTTCTATTTCCATTTCCATTTGCGTCATTAGCAATAAGTTGTGCAATGGTAGTTGCCACAGCGGCTTGGAACGTAGTGGGGTCCAGCTGTGGAGTTGGTGGTGGAACTGTTGGTGTTACACTGACGCCTCGGTTACATCTGCGTGTTTGCATTCTTCTGCCATAGGGATTAGAGATGGGATGATGGTAAGTCCTCAATAATAGTTATAAGGCGGGTATTATCAAAATAGGGCATCTCATTTATATGTTTGTTATGTCTCACCATTATTGTAGCTTGTAATCATTTCAAAAGAAATCATACTATAATAAGTAAAAAATTTCATAATAATTTAAGAATTTAATAATAATACCCAATGAAATAAAATGCAAACCATTTCATTGATAATGTTTCATAGTAGTACATAGTGTTGGAAAATTGACCTTCATGGAGGTCTATAATACACCTAAAACCCAAAATAAGATCGACATCATAACGACCCTTAGAATAGTGTAATCACTTATTCACATGGTCTAACCTACATACATGAGGGAGTAGCAATAGCACTTACTCAAAAGTCCTAGTCTATAACTAAAGTTGAGTAGCATAAACACTACTCATGACGGGTGACATCCTTCGGCCCTCGAAGTGTGGCTATTAATGCTTGTGTCTCCCTTGTTTCCTCCTTGGCATCCTTAGCTTGGCGCTTTGCCTCGATCATCCTCTACTCCATTTTGGAATGCTTATCCATGAGCTCCCTAACCTCGAATCGGGCGGTCATGACATCCTCCAAAATACAATCAATAATCTTGTTTGTATGATCATGATCTTCATCTAGACAAGGAAATCGGGAAGCGGTGAACTCATCGGTGGCACCAACATCTAGGATCTGGGGGGTAGACACCCTAGCATCCTCGCCAAGGCTTGAAATAGGGCAGATCATGGCAGGGAGAGCTCTGTCGGTTGAACCGTTGTTATGAAGGTCGTAGAACTCTTGACACATAACATACGGGGAATGTTGGCCATACTCGCGGCTCCATCTGTGTAGGTCCTCTGCCCAATGAGGTGTAGGATCCTGGAGTGGTACACCTGTCAGAAAAATCTCGGGTATAAGAAAGGCAGGTATCCTCTTACAAGGAGTGTACATCCATAATGGATAATCTGGATGGTGGTATACCTGAAAACTCAGCTCGGGTATAGGATCATGTAAGTTGCGGACAACAAAGTGTGGTTCGATGACCTCCAAATCAGCATCAGAGTTCTCATCCATCAGGTCCTCGTCAATGTCCTCATCATCACCTTGACCCTCCTCTGGTCCTACTCAACAGCTGGTGCCTAAGCCTCAACCTGCTCCTTGTGCTCGTCCTCGATCCATCAACCATTCCCATTATTGGGAAAGTAAGGATCTTCAGTTAGGTGAAATCCGGCATGTCGAATATGCAAAGATAAAGGTATACGAGGCATATAAAGAGTCTAGGTGTATTGTTCAATAGTATCATAAAATACTCCTATAGTATTTTTAAACTTTATGTTTGGTTCTAGAGTTTCTTTGTATAGGGTTTTGGTAAGTTTTAGACTTGTTTTTCACTACGACTATTCCCAAGCATATGTTAGTCATATCTCGTACAAATATAGTTGATCAGGCTCTATCTATCCTAGATCCAATTACATAATTACCTAGGCCTGTTTGTAGTGTTCAACTTATCTTATTACTTTTATAATGTTCATGTTATGACATCGTTCTCGTATGTATGTATATACTTATACTTTATATAAATATCATTATATTTTAAAAGTACACTTGTACGAAATGTTTTGATACAGTTTTAGTCCCATTGTATTTATAGTTGTATATCTTACATGGTTTGATATATTTAGTTCACTATAAACAATGCTCTTATACCAATTCGTCATACCCCCAAACTAGGATAGCGGAAACGTCTGGGGGTGGATGACTTCATGAACAGTATCACAACATAATGTACACTAGTGATCAAAGCAAACACAACCATCACAAATATAATTGAAAATATTACATTGTTTCCAAGTATTGTATGTTTCAAAACCAACTACAATATGATGACAAAATGAATAGTACGACGTCGTAATGTCCCATCCTCAAAAGCCTTTTGACAACCTGTTTAACGGTTTCCTGAGAATACAAGTAGTTTTGAAAAGTATCAACAATTAAGTTGGTAAGTTCATAAGAGTTTTGTATGGGAAAAATATGTCATTCTTTCCTTTTAAAATGATAGCGTTTGTTCCCAGAAAATCTAATATTTTCTTAAAAAATAGTTGTATTCTTAAAAACCCTAAGACCAAAAATGTATAAGTATTTCTATAATTAAAATAGTATTATGTACTTTTATTCTTATATAAAACCATTTGAACGCATGTTACCCCGTAAACTAAATGTATCGTTGATTTCCCATGTGAGTTATTACAACCATGCTAAACCCAAAGTTGGCCTGCTGCGACGTTCTTCAGGAATCGGAATGTTAGACATTCCTCACCCCAGACCTGCAGGTCTAGTTGTAGCTAGCAACTTCAGTGTGAGATTGTCAGTCCTGTATAGATCTATACACAAGTATCATGCTCTCTTACCGAGATTCTTGTTATAATTCAGGACTTTAGTGTGTACTCTAGAAGGTACGGTGAAGACTTTATCTCACATAACTGCTTCAACGTGCTTACGTTTTGTTGTAATGAAAACCCTTGTATGTGTAATTATCACTTTTCCATGGTATTAGTATAGTGTATGATAATTATATATTTTTATATAATTATTCGTCTTGTCCCAAAATGTTTAATAGTGTTAATGACCCATAAACTACACCTATTATAGTTTATTATAAGTATTTCGTTGTACCTATATATATATATATATATATATATATATATATATATATATATATATATATATATAGGTTAACATGTTTAGATGTTCATAAATAACATATATTATACATGTAATACAAATATATGAACCTTTAGTATGATAAAGTAAGTTTTTCTAGTTTTTTTCTTTTTACATCACCAAACAGTAAATATTGAATTATAAACTTTGTAAAAATTTTATTAGCATTTTGTGACGTTTAAGTCAAGTTAACCTTTTGTGTTTAAAACAACAAATTTTAGGTCAGTTCTCACAAAAATGATATCATAACCTAATTATGTCCATTTTTGTCAGAAAACCCTAATTTTCACATAACATGATAGATTTTTAGGTTTTCTATTAGTGAAACAAAATCCTTAGTAATTATAACTAGTTTCATAACATATGTCCAAAATAACGTATTTTGATTTATATCCTACAAAAATGGTGTAATAACTTGGTTATAATTATTTTTGCTAGAAGAGTCGTATTATGTTCATAAAAACCATAGTTTTTATAGTTTTGTTCTCTCTCTCTCTCTCTCTCTCTCTCTCTCTCTCTCTCTCTCTCTCTCTCTCTGTCTCTCTCTCTTTTACTTTTTCTTAAGAACATATAGCATGTTTATACTCATTTTTCATAAATTCATATTTTAAACAACATACCACACATAAATGTTCATAATACTAGGTAATATTAAATCATACCACACATAAATGTTAAAGAGGAGATGGAGGGAGGGTGAGGGGTGGGTAGGTATGGGGGCATTGAATGGTTACTTGAATTTAATATTAAAGCATACCCATTTTAATTAAATAATAATAATTTTATAAAAGGGTAATAATCATATATGAATAATGTGGTCTTTAGTTTATTTGTAAAAAAAAATGGGAAATTTGTATAAAAGTCAGTGATTTTTATAAAAAGTGTGGTAAAAATGAAATATAATTACTTAATTTGAATTATATAAAGTCAAATTATTAAAAAAAATCATTATCATCAAAAATAATAACACATTACACGAAAGTTAGGATGATTCCTAATTCTTTTCGTTAACGTTTGAGTGTTTAAGTCGGGTAGAGAATTTTTCGTATTTGGTGACGAATTCACCAAAAATCTAAATATGGGAACATTTGTTATGAATTTGTCATATAGTATAAGGTTAATGAGCTCAACTATATTGTGTTATGAATATTATTTATACTTAAATAATTTATAATTGAATTATCGAATTTTTAAGTTACTAATCCTAATCAGGGCTTATATTCAATAATTGGTAAAAAGAGAGGTACTTTGAATTATAACTTGCCAATAGTACATTAGTAACATTAGGTAATATCACATTTCTCCTAAAATTCTAATACGGGTTGAGTTGACCTGGTTGACTTTTGTTGACTAAAATTAACGGTTGTTACAAATACCTACTAACTACTCCTCAAATACAATTACATGTTACATGCACTAGATAATTTTTAGACTGGAAGATCCCGCCCTACAACGACTAGACTCACCTGAGAGCTGTGCAATAGAGTTATATCTAAAATTATAAAATTATCTACTCCATGAAACATGTAACCTAACATATTCAATTAATAGTTAGTCGATGTTAATGGAAATCTCTAAAGCACAAATCAAACAGTATTTGGGCATTAAGCAACCTCCACCATCACATAAAACCACTCTAGCATACAACCCTAAATTCTTTGTCCAAAACTCAAAAGGTACCATAGAACTCCGGCAATCCTACCTTACAACTCCTGGAGATCTCTAATTATAAGCATCCAACACTACTAGCTCACATAACATGCATAAAGGCATCTCTCCTAAACAGACACACTAGCATGCAATACTGAGCAGATTCCTAGCCCTAAACTAGCATGCAATTTTATCAACTCATAACAACAACACATAATCAATTAAGGGTATTTTAGGAAATCACCGCTCGGGCTTTGGCTGATTGTACACACCGCTTTAGACCTGCTTTCAAAACTATTTAACTTCCTTGGAAAACCATGTGGGTGAAAGAATATTTCTTTAGAAAAGTTATCAACTCCGCAGTTTGAGTACAGACATACCCAAGGGTGTTCCCGAATCCCTCAAACCAAGGCTTTGATACCAAATTGTAACACCTCAAATTTCATGACAATTTTTTCGCTTTAAATTCACCAAACATTACTCATAGATTCAAGTCATCACATAAATTATAAGTTGTTATCAAAACAATATCAAAGTATCCCAAAATCCACAAGATATCATAAGTCGACTTATGTATACAATCATGCCTCTGCCTTCTCGGAATCTACAGAAGTACCTGAAACACATTTAAATCAACATTGTAAGCATGAAACTTAGTGAGTTCCCAAAAATACCATATGCACAAATAATTAGCCTCTCGTGGCTAAATCTAGATAAGGACCCTCTGGTCATGTGTCTCAGTGAAAACCCTCCGGTCTCACATCTCAGTATAGACCCTACGGTCATAGCTCAATATATACACAGAATAATATAACAACATAGTTCACAAAGATAGAATCCATAATAACACATAGATCAGCAAAAGCAAATAAGACCCTCCTGTCAATAAAGCGAATGAGACCCTCCGGTCAATAACACGAATAAGACTCTTCAGTAACACATAAGTTACCACACAGGTAAGTGTAATGAGAACTCACCTTAACCGCTACGCGAGTAATCCTACAATGTCGTTGTTGCTGCGAAATAGCTCCCAAACTGAGCCAAACCACCTAACACCATAATCAATAACTAAGCAAGGCTAAACCCTAGCACTAGGCCCAAATATGGCCCAACTAACCAGGCCCACTAATGACCCAAATCCATTGGGCACACCAATTCCCAAGACCAATAGATCCATAAAGTTCCATTAATGGCCCAAATTTCCAAATTGGGCCCAAACCCTTACTTGGGCCTTACCCTAAAGCCCACTACTAAACCCTAAACCAAAGCACACCTTCTCAGATGGCCCAACAAGGCACCAAGCAACCAGGCCCAGGTAAGTAGCCCATTTGGAAGCCCAATTAAACAAACCCACTCAGAAAAAGTATAGGGGGTACAAGCATGTACGCCCTACGTACTAGGTTAGAGGCTTGTACACTGAGGGCACCTGCTTGTATGCCTAACGTACACACCTTATCCATCCAAACCTCATTTCAACTTAATCCATTAAGAAAAAGCTTCCCAAACCATAGATCTAACCTCCTTGAACTGGAATATCACGTGAAGTTGTCAACTTTACATCCGTATAAGACCAAATAAAACTCTAAAGCTAGAAAGGGACTTAATGGGTGACTTAGTACATGCATTACCCCATAATACACATAAAGATTGCATCTTTATGCTCAAAGATACCAAAACAAACTCAGATCTAAAAGGATGAACAT